GTTCATGGCCTCAAAAATTTCACGTAAGAACAGCGCCTGACGGCATTGAACCTCTATTCCCTCCACTACAGGCAGGACGGAGGTGACCTAATAGCAACGTTTCAGTTGCTAAGAGGGCTACTAAGAAAAAACATTTATTGAAATGGCACCCAAGTCTAATCACAGACGACATGATTACCAGCTTAAAAGGGAACTGTGCCACACAAATCAACGTTCTTTCCTTTACTCACAAAGGGTCACTCGTCAAAGGAACTCTTCGCCAGAGTTGTTGTTAATTCCCCTACCGTGAGTGTGTTCAAGAGACAACTGGATACTCACCTGCTAAAAGGCAACCCGAACAGCCGAAGACTGATCTAACGGAGTACTGAAATGACTATAAATATACTACCAACATGATTTCAACAAATCCTTTTTTGCGCGTCAAAATTAGACCATATGGAGCTTTTCACAGTCCAAATGCGGTTAACAAAGCTTTTCGCAATTATTTCGCGAAAACCATTGCCTTTCACATTTATGTTCCATTATGTGATTTATAAATTATCTTTACTAAAATTGAAAGCAAAATGTTTGCAATTTAACTATTTTTCCTTACATCCGTACCGTCTAAAGGGAGTTTTCAGGGCTTCTGTCGTTTACTCCAAATATACTGACTAAACTCACGCATATCTTAACCTGAGGGAGACAGAGAAGGTTAAGGATTGAATGGATTATAAATTACTGCTCAGTTGGGGTTTAACACAAATTATCAGGGAGCGTTATTCGAATATATTTAATTCACGCCTGAATGCCACCTTTTGATCGAACATTCTCCATTTGTCTGAAGATGTTACACTCGATATATGCTGGTATTTGATATCAAATTGCGTCATCTTCTAATTCCATTCATGAAGAGTGTGCATTTTTCAGTTTAGGAAAGGCTTGTAATTATGAGATTTTTAAAAATGTTAAATGTCAACTCATGCATCATCTTATAGGAAAGGGTTCCACGGAGACGAAACGAGGTGCACTCATTAATTTCCGATTTGGTGACGCCAAACCCTTGTTTGAGGTAGACCATTTGATAAGACAGGACAGAGAGGGACAGAGAGACCGCTAGTGTTTGCGAAGCGTCATCAGATAGTTATTTGATGATGACATTGATGAATGGGGCTGGAAGGTTACACGCATGGAAATAAGGTGTCACGGGTTGGGTAAACCCGCTTCTGATCATTAAGGACTTTCAGAAAACGTAGATGAGATCACTGGAAATGGACGTTTCGGATTCTCACTCGAGCCCACCATTAGAAACAGTCGCGGATAAGGTTAATAGTGACAAAAAGAACGCAGTATTTATAGCACGTAGTTGCCGTGGAACCATATACGTACTCTAATTAACAACTATCGAGATCACAGAGGGGGTTCGTAATTGATGTGATGATGGCTCGTCAGTCCGCGTCCGAGTCGCCAATTGTCGCGATTTCGTCATCCGTGTTGGGTGCTGGCATGACGATTACTTGACAAATTGGCTCACTGTCACCGGGACTATTGCTCGTCCGTGTCCTCCCCACGTGACTGATTCCTCTGTTCAGAGAAAATATCAACAGACAACACGGTAACAGGAGGTCATGCGCTTGTTGGTGGATTGCGGACCCGAGAACCATGACCCGAGCAGATTGCGACTCACACGGTTGTCACCCGATGCGAGAATTTCGGCCTCTTGAAACTTGAAAATATTGCCCGGTCCCGTTGAATGAGCTGCCATTTGAGAGCCAGCATCCCCCCGCCTCACTGTTGCTGCATGCTCGGTCACTCGCATCCAGAGTAATCTGCCAGTTTCTCCGACATAGTTGCTCTATTTGCACCTGTACCAGATCCGGTAAACGACTCCAGACGTTTCCTGCCGTGGCAGCGGGTCTTTTGGCCTCATTACTTGGCGCCTAATGGTTGCTTCCGGACTGTGTGCAACCCCAACTCCAAGTGAAGTGAGAGGACGACTGACGGCTTCCGAGACGTTCTTCACGTACGGAAGAGCCCGCCAAAATTTGGGGCCGGTTGGATTTGGTCTCTGGTGCCGTTTGCTTATGTACAGGTTGACAAAGTTTGAGTGTAGCTAGTAGCTCTCAGTACACGTCTAAGGTCTTGTAATTCAGCAACCTCATCTTCCGTTCCACTGCAATGTGTCTCAACGCGGCAGTATAGTGCCCTTACGCGTTTACGTTTGTTAATGATCGAGCGGTTGTTGTTGAAGTTCAGGAGCTTCTGAACTACTTCCTGGAACTCGTCCGTTCGATTCTGTCGACATTTAGGTGGGATGGAAAACGAGAGGTTTTGGATTCTAAATCCAAAATGCAGTTTCGCACGTGCCTTAGTAAACGTTTTTTCAAAAGATTTTTCACTGAGTTGCGACATAATTCGCAGGGGCATTTTTGCATCACATGCGTTAGCCAACATTCATGAGTGGGAGGATTTTGAAAAGAATTGTTTTTGAAAACAATTCTGTCGCTGAGGTGGGGATTTTGAGGGAAAGCAACTTGATCACATGAGTCAGTGTGTCTATTTGTTCGATAAGTTTGCAGAGAAACAATGGAGTACTTCTGGTGAAATATCGGTTAATTCCCAAGTGCAGAGCTTCAGGCCTTATCACATCACGAACCCTCCTGTCATACAGCATCGAACCTGTTCCTTTATTAATGCTATTTTGAAAATATACGGTAAGTGGGCTAACTCATGAAATGCCAGCCGAAATTCAGAAATGCGTTTTCGTTTCGAAAAGACCAATTAAGTAGGGTTGTAAAACTAATCATCCTGCAGTATATTTCTAAAAAAATTCACCTCGGGATGTCGGTTTTCGGATGAACTCCTTTTCGGCTGCATGCAGAAACCCTACTTTTAAAAAGGTGACTACTTAAGTAGCATGCATTTTTCTCATTGACTTTTGATGTCCTTAATAATTCAATTATATTTCATGGAAAACATGCATAACAACATTTATTCGCTTGCTCATTCGGTAGACAATTACATCTTCCAGTTATATACCCAAAAGGGGGTATAATTTGATTTCGAAAAATTTCCTCATCTCCGAATAATTTTGAATTCGACCTGCCTTCGCAATTTCATTCAGGGTTTCCAAACTACAGGCCGAATATTTTCCGTGTACGGAAAACCATACGTTTCTCTACGGTATTAAAAGAAAATTATATGGGTTCATAAAATTTAGCAGTGGATTTGAGCCATATTGCTAAATTTACAAACCACATTGGTAAATGCAGAGAAATGACTTTTTATTAACGGCCATTTAACGATATTAAGAAATCTCACAATTAGAAGCTTTTGTAAAACCAAATAATACACTTCTTCGAATATGAAATTGGAAGAAGACGTCATATAAGTCAAAAGTCAATGAGAAAAATGCATGCTATTTAAGCAGTCACCTTTTTAAAAGTATAGTTTCTGCATGCAGCCGAAAAGAAGTTCATTCGGAAGCCGACAGCCTAAGGTAAATGCTTGTAGAATTATGCTGCGGAATGATTCGTTTTCCAACCCCACTGAATTAATCTTTTCGACACGAAAATTTATTTCTGAATTTCGATTGAAATTTCATGAGTCAGCCCACCTACTGTATGACATGGACTGCATCCAGTTCAAAATTCAAGCATCCTATACTGCGTCACCTTGACGGCGAAGAGAAATGTACGCTTTCCTTACGCGGAAACTATGTCACAAGTATTTTTTAACTCTAGGTCGGAGTCCAAAGGCAATACGACCTAGAAGCTACAAGGGAATAGAAAAAGATTGGTAAAACCGGCGAATTAACTTTCTTCAAGCAAAACAGAGGTAACATGCACTCCCATCAGAAGGAAGAGGTTCTTCGGCGATGAAAAGAGCTGTACACTAGCATTTCCAAGTCAGTGGCATCAATCCATTTTTAGGCGAACTGGCAAGGCAGAAATGAGATTAAAGTACAAGACCGGTTCGCAGGACATGACAGAGAGGCCGCTAGAATTTGCGGAAGGTGTGCAATGAGATACCTGATGAAGACATAGAGAAACGAAGCTGGAAAAATAATCGCATACATATAGGATGTTGCGTTTTGGGTGTATCCGCTGATCATCATCCGGGACTTTTCTTATTATCGCTAAGATCATCTTTCTTGATAGGACAAGAGGTGGGCTTAAACAAAACTGGCCATTACTTCGTAGAGCTGGATCAAAATCTAGAGGTCTTAGTTCCTTCCTCTTCTTCTTCTTCTTTTTTCTTCTTCTTATTTAGAAGTGACACGCAATTACCGACACCATTGCAGAGGCACTATTACGCCATATGTGCTAATCCACGCTCAGGCTTGAGAAAATTTCCAGGAGACTTTTCTTCGAAAATATTTCTGGCGGCGAGTTGGGGATTTTAGAGGGGAGCAGTTTGATCGCATGCTTCTGAGTGTCTCTATGGTTGGCATGCTGGCAGACGGAAAGTGGACTTCTCCCGGTAAATTCTCCGTAATTTGCCAACTGTATGGATTTGTGTGGTTTTAAATGAATTTTAGTCTGTTAAATCACTTCTGGCTGCCTATCTAACCGTTAAAACTTCGGTCGAATCTCATCGACGAGAATTCAAATGGCGAATCCCGTTTGGGTATTTTGGACTCGAAAAACGTTTACCCCTATTTAACGTGTTTTATTTAACACAATCAACGCTGCCTCAGTGGTTTCCCTGATTAATTCATTAAAGCTGCGTCAAACCCATTAATCCGTTCGAGTTAAGATATCCCCTTCAAGGTTAAGTCTCCAGCTTCCTCTTTTTGCACATGGGAAACCACTCATTAACAAAGGAAAAGTTAAGAAGTGAGAAGATCTAAATGCTGACAGCGATGTAGGCCTTCTACCCATTGATAACGTACTTCGGCCCAACGTTCCCTTCGACAAGGTAGACTGTGAAAACGAAGCTCTGATTTGCCTTAACGACCGAAAACTCTTCCACAGAAGCAACGTGGCAGCACTGACGTCGACAGCCGCATGCATGTGGTCCGATTAAAGAGGGCTGCACTCATAATCATCATCATCATCATCATCATCATCATCATCATCATCATCATCATCATCATCATCATCATCATCATCATCATCATCATCATCATCATCATCATCATCATCATCATCATCATCATCATCAGCATCCTCATCATCGCCACCACCCTCGCCAAGACAACGACCACTACCACCACCACGACCACGACCACCACCAGCACCACCACCACCACCACCACCACCACCACTACCACCACCATCACCACCACCACCACCGTGTCTGGACTTTGCGTTAGTACCTTTGCTGTTAGTATGGTAGCTTGCAACCCTAAAATATACTGCTAGCTCGCGCGTTAGCAGGTAATGCATGTTACGCGATTACCCCGCTGCGACTGATGGACCTCGACATAAATAGTAATACATCAAATTTTATTCTGTGTCTATAGACTTTAGTATCAACTGATCTATTTCACGTTCGCAGTTAATTTCTGAGGCAGCAAAAAACAACAACAGAAATCGCCACCACCTTTGCCATCCTCAGCATCATCAAATACTAGCATGCAACGATGTTAATGAAAAACCCTTCGGAAGGTCAAGTGCCCACCTCCAACAGCCAATCGTCCCACTACCGGTCACACCTACAGTAGGTGGGCTAACTCATGAAATGTCAACTGAAATTCCGAAATGCACTTTCGTTTCGAAAAGATTAATTATGCAAGGTTTTAAAACCAATCATTATACAGAATAATTCTATAAAATTTCAGTTACCTCAAGATGCCGACTTTTGAATGAACTTCCTTTCGGCGGCATACAAAAACTATGCTCTGTACAAGATGATTACTTATGTAGCATGAATGTTTCTCATTGATTTTCGATGTCCCTAATTGTTCAACTCTATTTTATGGAAAACATCCATAATAATCTTCATTCTTTTCTCATTCTATAGATAATTACATCTTCTTCCATTTTTACACTCGAAGAAGGAACATTATTTATTTTCAAGAAGGCTTTCCACTTCCCGATTAATTTTGAACCCGCCCAACCGTCACACTTGGATTCAGGGTTTACAAACTACAATTATTTTTTCCGCGTACCGAAAACCACAAATTTCCCTACAGTAATAAAGGGGGATCATATTGGGTTCATAAAATTAGGCGGTGGATTCGATTCATGTTGTTAACTTTACACGCCGCATTAGAAAATGCAGAGATATGTCGATTTTTGAACGGCCATCTCAAAGTATTTAAAAGTCGCACAATTAGAAACCTTTTTAACACCAAATTATATCCCTTCTTTGAGTACAGAGTTAGAAGAAGATGCAATTGTCTATAGAATGAGCAAAAGGATGAATATTTTTATACATGTTTTCCATGAATTATAATAGGACATTTAGGGGCATCGAAAATCAATGAGAAAAATGCATGCTACTTAAGTAGTCATCGTTTACAGAATGTAATTTTCACATGCAGCCGGATGGAAGTTTATTCAAAAACCGGAATCCTTGCGTAACTGAAATATTATATAATTATTTTGCTGGCTTACAAGTTTTACAAGCCTACTTAATTAATATTTTCGAACCGAAAACGGATTGCGGAATGTCGGTTGACATTTTATGAGTTAGCCTACTCTCTATACTTGCGACCTTGAAATTCAGTCGTTACCGAAGCTGACCTCCCTGACAAGTGGCGTTGTGCTAATCTCAGCAATGGCTACATGAAAAAGAGGACATACACAACCGAATCGAGTGAGAAGAGGATGATGTCGGCTGAGTCCGACGTCCACCGTGTGCTACACAGTGACTTGCACGTTAAGGATTTTGTAGTGACGGTAGACTTGCGAAGCACCAACCTCACTCTCTCCTCCCCCACCTGAGTCGGGTGTCAAGAAAGAGTCAATAAGACCGGAGACGGGTTGCTGGCGCGGCTGGGACGGCACCAAGGCGACCGCCGCAATCCCTGGTCCACAACAGCGGCAGATTCCACGTAACACTTCACGGCGGTCTCCACAGGTGAACCACCCAGCGGCTTCTGGCATCGCGCAAATTATTACTATGGTCAGGTCGTGACTCAGGATATACACATTAACTAAAGTCAGATGAATGCTGTAAACTAAATTTATGATAATGAATTCTGCTGTCTAGAGTAGAATTCACATGCGTATAACGATTGCGAACACCAATCGACCGAAGTCGATAAAATCAGTCTCCGAACTTAGGACTGAAGCGGTACTCTGGGATCACTGAAATGCAACAGCTTCAACTTTGGACACGCTGTGCCGACGAATTCTTTGTCATTCATGCACAGGACAAGACCGGACACCGTAATACGTGGGCAGATTCACTGATTCAAGGATTTGCAGTGCATGATAGAATCTGGCCGTCTATTACAGTTTCCAAATTTGGAAAAAGCCCTTCACGATCCTCGCCTCTCAAATCTCCATCGACGGCATGGTTGAGCCAAAACGGTCATCTTTTTGACTCACAAAAAATGCCATAAGTGATTTTACTTGGAATGATTGTAGAATTTTACCAGGCACTGTCTTAGTCGCATTGAGCTTTCATCATTCGCACTTCCGTGAACAGAAGAGGGTGATTTGTGGGACGTTGTGTCATTCACAATTTCAGAGGCATGGAAATGTCTTGAGATCTCAAATGGGTGTACTAAGAGACGCCAGTCTGTTCTAGATGACTCAGCCGGCTAGCATCTACACGGTGCTCCGTAACCGGATAGCTGCGTCGAGTACCGAGTACCGTCTAACGTCACCTGAGGTATGACAAGGGAGTTGATCTGGTCAGCTCATCTTGCTGATATTTTACTGTCATCGACATCGATAGGCGTCTGCCGTGATGGAGGTTTTACCCTCCTTTCTTTGTGGTTTTATTGCATGTTAACTTTGCAATCGATGTAAACATTGAAGAAGTCAAGTTCAGCGAACGTACGTTTTCGATTATTCATCCTCAGGCCAGCGCAACCATGTAAGTTAGGGTAAAGCAGTGAAAGTCAAAGCAGCCAATGAACAGTGGTCATGGGAGAGGGGTTGAGGGCTTTCAGACATGTCCGTCCAGTCAGGAGCTTAGAGAGAGAGAGAGAGAGAGGAATCTGTGCCTCACTCCCTCTCTCTCTTTCCTGAAGTGAATGCCGTTAGCCAGGACTGATTCGGTTTTCGAAGCATAGGGACTTTTATTCATTTGACCGCGACTGAACCCTTTGTTCAGTTTCGTGGTGAGCATTTCCGTGTTCTGGCATAATTCTTTGAGCTTTTTCAGACGTTTTCTCGTGAATGCCCGATTCTTAGTGGTTTTGTATCAAGGTACTGGTGACAACAATTCATCAGCATTGTATGGCATTGTTGTTTTGACGAGACTGAAAAACAGCTATAAAGGGACAGACATGCGTGATCCATCACGGCATCAAGTCATTTGAAATCAAAGTAGTCAGCTGTGTGCCGATACCCGTGTAAACCGTGAAGACGTCAAGTCCGACGAAGGTAAGGCTCCCATCATTCCATCTCAAGCCTGCACAGTAATATAAGTTGGGGCAAAACAGCGAAAGTTTAAACAGTCAATGAACTAAAGTAGAGAGGGGGAGGATTGAGGGCTTTCAGACTTGTTGATCCTGTCAGAGGCTTTGGGAGGGGGGAGGAGCCAGACCGTGAAGTTTGCTTAAGTTTCGTCGCTGTAGCGCGATGTGGCAGGATGCGGGAACGAGCATGCTGGGGCCAGGGTATTTCAAGGGCTTGTACGGATGCCTTATGCGAACACAAAGCTGAGTTGACTATGCCGTCTCAGATATCTCCTGGAGCAGGAACTTGGAGTGTTTCAACGACGCTTTGTAGATGACCTGAAATGGTTGGTTGGTTGGTTGGCGTCCATCCGGCGATCGTCGTCAACCGAGCGAACCACAATTAACCAGAAACGGACTTTTTCATGCCTTGATTTAGCCAGACGAAATTCTGCCATCGCATCTGTTTGCATGGATACCGTTGAGTTCAAACAATTTAGCCTACCCTATAGGAGCAAGTGAGGGCATAGGTGCACAGTGAAGTATTCCGAAGGGGCGGTGAATCCTTACTGGGCTGCTGCCCAAAGTTAACAAGCTAGAAATACTGCCTACTTAATCGAGCGGAGTAGGTAAGAAAAAGCAGGGGTGAATGCAGCCGATTTGTTCTAACAAGGAAAGTAGGAATCACGCGGAGGCAAAGGTCGTCTATTAAATGTGTACTGAGTTTTCATTCGGGATTTCGTTCTACGGGCAAAGTTTTTCGGAATGAGTAAGAAAAGTCTCTTTAAAGGATCGCCAAAAAGAGAAGAAACAGAAGGTAAGCGTCCGGACGGGAGTAAGAGTGCGAAATACAGTGAGTGACCGATCTCATGAAATGTTGGCTGAAATTCTGAAATGCGTTTTCGATTGGGAAGGATTACTTGGTCGCGGTTATAATACTGACTACCTGAAGTCATACTCGTATAAAATTTCTGACCTGGCAGGATGCCTGCTTTGAAATGCACTTCTTTTCAATCTCCTGTAGAAAGCGTGCTCAGTAAAAAATGACTACTTAAGTAGTATGCATTTTTCCCATTGATTTTCGATGGTCTTGGAAATTCAAATATATTTTATAGAAAACATAAACAAAACTATTTTTCTTTTAGTCAATCAATAGAGAATTACGTCTTCTTTATATTTTATACTTAAGGAAGGAGTATACTTAGGTTTTAAAAAAGTTTTCTAATTGCCGAATAATTTGGAGCCTAATCATTCGTTGCATTAGCGCTTAGTGATTTCACTCTACAAGGTGCTTGCGTTCCGCGTAGAGAAAATCACATTTTTTTCCATGTCAATAAAGAGATATCCTACAGAGTCCATAACATTTTGCAATGGATGCGGGCCATGTTGTACATTTCATGAGGAGCAGTGGTAAACGGCCAGGTACGATGCTATGTGAATGGACATATCGCGGTCTTAAAGAGTCTCATAATTAGAAACTTTTTTAAAACCTAATTATACTCCTCCCTTAAGGATAAAATATAAAGAAGACGTGATTCTCTATTGATCGACTGAAAGAATGCACATTTTTGTTTGTGGTTTCTATAAGATATATTCGAATTTTCAAAACCATCGAAAATCAATGGGAAAAATGCATGCTACTTAAGCAGTCTTTTTTTACCGAGCAAGCTTTCTACAGGAGAGTGAAAAGAAGTGTATTTTAAAGCCGACGTCCTGCCGAGTCTAAAATGGTATAAGAGTATGCCTTCAGATAATCAGTATCACAACCGCAACCAAGTAATCCTTCCTAATCGAAAACGCATTTCAGAATTTCAGCCAACATTTCATGAGATCGGTTACTCACTGTACTTGATTTACAAATGACATCTA